CAAGGCTGCATTTATTTGCATGCCTGTTTCAAGAAGACAGTCCCAAAAATGGTCACAAAATATTATTTTACTAACTTATTAATTTTAAGTTAAATTGTGCTTTGTTGGTATGTCTGCTAAAATGTTACAAAATGTTCAGTGTTAAATAAGTATTTTTAAATTGTTGTTTTGTATTAGTGTACAATGTTTAAAAATAATAATTTATTCCATGTAGTGTCCATTTCATTTATTTAACATTTAATATCGGAGGCATCCAAGTTATTTGACATATTTTTTAAAGTAACACAATAGTTACTTTCCCTGGTAGTTGGTTACTTGTATAATGATGTAACTCAGTTACTATTTGTGAGAAGTAACTAGTAACTACAACTAATTACTTTTTTTAAGTAACTTGCCCAACACTGGTCACTATTGCACTATAATGCTGCTTCTGCGACCTTATAACAATAGATTTACACTTCAAATTACGTAGTCTGTCATCAATGACAGTAGCTCTTTGGAAAAGGATGGAAAATGCCCTTCATTGTGTTTGCACTAATAAATGCTGCTGCCTGCCAGCTGTAATCACCAATAAAACGTTATACATTTTTTTTTCTATATCGTCATAAATATCATTATCGCAAATATTCTTGAAATATCGTGATATAATTTTGAGGCTATATCGCCCACCCCTGCTTCAGACATAAAAACGCTGACTCGTTAGGTGATGTTTTCTCATTAAAATCGTACAATTTACTCTTAATTCAATAGAATCCAGGGAATAGCAATATGGCGGCGCGGTGGCTTCACTAGTTCTCTATTATCAGTGGTGTAAACTTATAATAATGGATAACTACGGTCAAGTGGACTTAACAGACACAGGCACGCCTCTCGCTTCTGGATTGCAAAATAACGAAAACGCATCAGAGACGAATGCCTTGACATTATCGCATGTAGGAACAGTTGGTACGGCTTATTGATCTGGTCATTTGTTTTTGTTTTTTTAACTGAAAAACTCCGTGGCTTTAAATTCTGAAATGTAAAAGTCTTTAGCAAATAAACGGCATGTTTGAACAAATTACTATTAGTAAAAAAAAAAACAGGCCAATTAAGGTCTAACAGTATTCAGGTAAATAATAGCCTACAAAAGAAACAGAATAAATGAACCAAATGTAAATAACCTTTAATGCACATTAAAGCTACTAAAGTCATTCATACAAGAGCAGAGAGTCAAGTTTTTCATTTTATTTTACTGTTTGATGATCAGTAATGACAACTGAACATTATATAAAACTCATAAGCACAATGATATAATTTTATAAGCAAAAAGACATACAAGAATACAAATTTGTAACATTGTTCTTTGGAGAGGAACTCCATCTTTGAGTTGATCTGAATCTCACAGTGGAATCTGCTGGTTTTGAAGATGAACTTTATTCACTGTGAAAACTTTAGATAATGTTCCTTTGTCATGTCACTTGTAATGACAGATTTATCCAGATTATATATTTTTTGCTCGACACATTATTATCTGGCATTTTATGAGGACGCAACATCAGGTCTGAAAGTGCTGGATCTGAAGATGATCTACTTACTGTGAATGTTTTTTCTATGACTGTGTAGAGAAGCTGAATGATTGAAACGCTTCCCACATGCAGTGCAGTGATACGGTTTCTCTCCAGTGTGAATCCTCTTGTGCGTCTTCAGGTTTCCTGACTGACTGAATCTCTTGTCACAGTATAAACACTTGTACGGTTTCTCTCCAGTATGAACTCTCACATGTGCCGTAAAGTGTTGTTTTAGTGCAAAACTCTTCCCACATTGATCACATGTGTGCGGTTTCTCTCCTGTGTGGACTACCTTGTGTTTTTGCAAGTCGTTTGACCGACTGAATCTCTTGTCACAGTGTGAACACATGTATGGTTTCTCTCCAGTGTGGATGTTCATGTGATCCTTAAGGTTTGCTGATTGAGTGAAACTCTTCCCGCACTGATCACAAGTGAATGGTTTCTCTCCAGTATGAACTCTCATGTGTGCTGTAAGGCTTCCTTTTCGTGTGAAACTCTTTCCACACTGATCACATGTGTACGGTTTCTCTCTAGTGTGGACCCTCTTGTGTGCTTTCAGGTCTCCAGACTGACTGAATCTCTTTTCGCATTGTGAACACTTGTAAGGTTTCTCTCCAGTATGAATTCTCATGTGAATATCAAGACTAAATTTGCTTGATAAACTCTTTCCACACTGAGCGCAGGTTAAAT